AATAATAAGTCAATTTATCAAACAATATACCAAATAAAAATACAAATAATATCCCAATTTCTAAATGCAAAATTCGAATTTAACAAACAATATTATCAACATAGGTAAAGACTCTTACTAGCGCGAGTCAATCTTCATTCTTCCCCACAACTCTTACTTGAATAGGTCAAGAGTCAAGACTCAAAGTTGATTCCTAGATAATAAATAAGAAATGTAATTAGAGTAATACAATCATACTACCTAATCAAGAATGATCTTAACTGAAGATTTAAACAAAAAAATGTACTTCTTCGTCAATGTCCTCCTCGCTCGACGTTGCACAAACTCCGGAGTATGATGAAAGAGCAGATTTTTCTACATACAATAGAGAAAAAAATTAGTAACAAAAGAAAGTGTATAAATAACAAATATAAAATAATAAATCATATCATAAATATCAGTTAAAATTCAACCTTGATCATCCTTAATCATCCATCCATGATCCATACTCAAATTCTCAATCACAATAAAATAATAGGCTCAGTATTCACAGAATCACAATACACATTATCCAAAAATAATGTAAATAAACTTGTAAACACAACATTATCGAAAAAGAATTGAAGAAATCACAGAAAGTGAATACGCTTAGTCACATAAATTTCAGGGTATTTGTTCTTGTTTTGGATTTCGATTTGGATTTGGATTTGGTGAGGTCATCAAATTCAATGGTTAATTGAGGAGAAGAATTGAAAAAATCATCTCCACTGTACGCCGGACGGCGGACTGCGGAGTCACGGTCGGAAGGCGCATGCGTGCTGTCAAGACTCAGGCTACAATGGCACAGGTTGCACAGCTTCTAGTTCTTCCGTCTGGCTTGAAGGGCTGAACCGTTGCCGTCTCTGAACTGCCTCGCTTAGCGCTGTTGTAGAGCAAATTAGTGGAGGGAAGTTTTAGGTTAATTTTGATTCTTTGAAGTGTTGAATGTTGACAGAAGTGTTAGGTTAATTTAAAATTATATAAAAAAATTTTGGCCCTCAAAAATTCTAGGCCTGGGGCGGTGGCCTCGTGGGTAATGGTTACTATGCTCAATTTTTTAATTGGGTTTGTTCAAAAAAAAACTAAAAAACTAAAATTGTCCAATTAAAGTTTTTTTTTTAGGGTAATCAGTTTGGGGTGGGGCATCGTTGTTAAATATCATACCTGCCCCCACCACGAATCGGGTCATTAAAATCAAAACCATAATCACCCCATTGCACCATCGGTTCGATTTTTTTCTTCCCATTCGGTTCGGTTAAACGCGATTTTCGATTTTCACAATTCGAATTGCCATCCCTAAGTCCAATTCAAGTTGGGCACATTTATTCTTTTGTTGGACAAGTTTTTTTATGGGCCAATGGTTGAGATTTTTTTCGTTGAATTCGAACAATTTTTTTTTAAAAGTTTGATACCATTTCAATTTGGACCAATTTCAATTACATTAAAAATAGTGATTTGAAAGGCCTTATGTCGATTAAAGTTCGATCAATGGTCCGTGGGATTAAGTTTCATTCCGATAAAACAATATAACTTAAAAATATTGCAAAACCTATTAAATAGATTATACCACGATTAATATAAATACATATTAAATCAATCTAAATATATGTGGAATACCTGCATATTATGTCCATTGAATAAAGTGAAGAGACAAGAGGTAGAAGAAACGTGAGGTAGAGGAGAATTTTGATCATTAGGTTTTTGATTTTAAGTACTATTTTTTTTTTTTAAATATTTTTTAGTTTATTGGATTGTGTTATGTTGGGTTGGGTTTAATTGAGTTTTAATTGATAACCCAGAACCCAACCCGGCCTAAAATTTAATTTCCTAACCCAACCCAATTGAACTAAAAAACCAACCCAAAGTCCCAAACTGGTTGGTTTGTGTTGAGTTGATTGATTTGATTGGTTCAAATTGATTTTTATCCAACCCTAAGCACACGTGTTTCAACGTTTCATTGTGATGGCAAAATTGTCTTTTTACTCCACCAAAGAGAACACGCAGTTATTGGTTACGATCCTTAACATTGAAGAGATCGTTTATATGATTTTCCTTAACGAAAAAAATTACGACATCATAATCTAATATTTAATAACTTTTGAGTGTTAATAGTTTTTTTTTTCTCATTTTTGTTTTAAACAAATTGATATCTCAAATTATTTCTATTATAATTAAATTGATGGTAAAAGTTCCAGATAAGTGAAAATCCAATTATAAGCCATGCTTTCAGAAAAAATAAAGAAGACGTGAAAATTATTTCTATTATAATTAAATTGATGGTAAAAGTTCCAGATAAGTGAAAATCCAATTATAAGCCATGATTTCAGAAAAAATAAAGAAGACGTGTGATTTAAGATTTGTATCTTTAGCCACAAGTTACCGTGTCGGTTCCATTATTTGACCTTTTGCTTGTACACAATGAAGTCGTTAAGAGATAAGCCCACTCAATCAAATTGCAATCTTTTGGGTCATATTATTTTATTTCAACATCAACAGGGGCAAACATAGGTGGCATGGGGTCACGTCACGTGATCTCCAACTTTGGGGTCTTTTTTTTTTTTTTTTTAGCATTATTAAATTTTTTATGTTTTTGTCTCAATTTTCAATGTCGTTATGAGATGTCAAACAAAAATGTCCGCGTCTGTTCGTGCATATAAAGTCTTTGGATGACTCGTCCCTTTGGATAGAAATTAAAATTTCGATTTTAATCAAAATTAAAGTCAAAAATTAATTTTCAACCACACATTTCATCAACTTTTATCGAAATCTAATTTTAATCCCCACCAATTTTTCACGTGTCTCGTATTTTCCGTCATGAGCATGAACCGCATTAAGTGAAAGTTCGGATTTGATGGCTCACAAGCATAGTCGAAAATGATCGTGAGTAGTTAATTGACGTGGGCCAATAATTTTTATAATAAAGTTATAAGGAAACCTAAAATAGTTAAACATTAGGTTTTGGATAAAAATAAAAATAAAAAGGGAAAAAGAAATGACCACATAGGTAGGTTTTGGACAGATCATTCAACCAAAAAAAGGTCACATTTTGTTAATAAAAATTGAAAAAAAAAGAAATGACCACATGGGCAGCGAGGAACCAATATTCAGTCTTGCACGATCCTTTAATGAATCATAGTATAATCTCTTGTTAGTTGGAGCATTCCATATCACTAGGCTCTTTTTTTTTTTTTTTTTGTCCTTTTTTAATTTGAAACCCATATCACACAATGCTTTACAATATAAATAACTAAAAAAAATCAGAGTGTATAGAGAGAGAAGAGAGAAGAGAGAGAGAGAGAGAGAGAGAGAGAGAGAGGAAACTAACAAAAATCATTTCTGCAACACGAGTTCTTGGGCCCAAATCGAGAAATATAGTCCAAAAGAGATTGTACAATGGGCCAATTTCAAGTAAATCAATTTGCTTGTACAATTAGTAGATTTAAAAAAAAGGGGGTACTTACAAAAAATATTCTTGAAATTAAGGATGTTTTGAAAAATCATATGAAAAGTTTTTAGAAGGTAAAAAATATCGTGTAAAATGAAAAAGTGACACAACGTCATTTTTTTTATAACACAAACTCAAAAAAGTAACAAAATTAAAAAAAAAAAAAAAAAGTTACATATACTAAAATAGTACTATCCATTTGTGTAGCACCAGTAATCACGTTCTTAAAATAATCACCACGTTTATGCCAATCCACATGCTGATTATGTTAGGAAAATATAACATATTATCTCTTTTTTTTTATCTTCTTAAAAGTGACAAAAATCTAAAAAAAGTGATAAAATTAAAAAAAGTGACAAATTTTAAAAAAGTGACGAATTCAAAAAAGTGGCACAAATTAAAAGAAGTTATACGGATTAAAAAGTGACAAACAGTAAAAAAAGGACAAGTTCAAAAAGTGACAAAAAAAAAAAAGTGATAAACTCAAAAAAGTGACCAAAAAAAAAAAAGTTATACAAATTTTTTTTAAAAAAGTGACTATCTTTTGATAAAATTCACGGGCTTCCTCCTTCTGTAACAATTGGAGTCGAATTTTTCTTTGCAAGAACATTGGACTCGATCTCTTCATCCTCCTCTTCTTCGATCTCTTCTTCTTCATCAATTCTATCCTCAAGAATCAATTTTTCTTCAGTCACCTGACCACCTCGAATGCCAGTACGAGTCCTCTTGAAAACTTTTAATTTTAAACTCGATTTCCTGTCACAACCAATCCAAGAATCACATAACAAATATCTTCATCCTTATATATGTCACAACCAATCCAAGAGGCCAAGAGTATGCAATGATACATAAAGTTGCACTTACAGTGTTTGCAACTACGTGATCTAATGAAGGTACATATCCATGCAATCCATCACTTATCCCATGACCTATGAAATAAATTAACTCTTTTAGGGAGATATACAAACAAGCATCTCAACTTACCAAAACAAATTATAATGCCACAGATACTCAGTTTACCAATCTTAAAGGCCAAAATGATAAATTCTTTATCACAAGTCTCTGATTCTATTTCACATTTACGAATTATATAATTCATGGAAATGCTATCAATTAGAGATCAATGCAAGGCTATTCAACATGAGAAAATGTGAAATAGAGTCAGAGCAGTAACTACATATCACTTAGGGATATATTTTTCCTTGATTTACAAGGTTTTTCCTTGATAAACATGCACAATGCCACATACCCAGAAATTATAGGTTTGAATCCAACGAAACCGCAATTACCAACCTCCATTTTTGGAAGGAAGAAGACTAGCAAGCATCAAATATATCAAAATTGGAAGATCGTTGATAATAAGATCAGAACAGTAGCCCAAAATTGTCAAAATTAGCTATATTGAGTTTGATGTCCAATTGGTGGTAAACAAACATTACCAAAATATGGGGAAGGAGAGAGAGAGAGAGAGAGAGAGAACAAAACAAAACAGATCCTTCTAAAAGCCACCAATGCTCAAACTCTGTTCCACTACTATTTAAAGTGCTTCAAATGTTGTTAGGGTACATGAAGATGCAAACTCGTGCTCCCATGGACTTGGGGACACGTTGGATTTGAACTTAGCACGAACAACATCAGAGTTTCCATGGGGACGAATCACTTTACCCCAAATGCACCAATAGTGAGTCCCATTCTGCTTCACCTTAGCCTTGTAAATGTACGCCATTCTTTTCCCCTGGTACCAGGCTACTTCCTTCTTGTTGTCCATTCCCTCGATCTGGATTAAGGAAGTGTTCGGGTACTAGTTCGTCTTCGACCTCTTATACCCTAGGATCATGCCTCAGACATACAACCTGATGCTCTTTCCTTGGCGACCCTTCACTGTTTTCGACTGCTGCTTTTGGGAAGGGCGACTGAGTGTAAGTGCCGGAGAAGATGGAAACTAAAACCCTTGTTGATGAGAGTGTTTATGCTGAATGAAGATTGAGATTTAGGTTTAGGACGTATTATTTACAGTGAGAATTGTTTAATTAGTTTTAAAAGGGTACTTTTCAATTTAGTTAGTTGGCACTGGACCTAATTTTCCCAAAAACAAAACAAAATTATAGAGTTTACAATTGTTTAACCAAGAGGAAATGACAAAAAAATAGGCATTTAATTTTTCAAATTAAAAAATCAGATCTTAAGTTTATTTAATAAAAAATCAGATATTAATTGAATTTATAATTAAAACCCTCACAACCAAACCTTAAATAATTTTATCTCTCTTCTTCATCTCATCTCATCTCTCCTTCCCTTCCCTTTTCGCTTCCTCTCTCGTCTCTCTCTACCTTCTTGCTCACACATGGGTCACTGTCACTACCAAAGACCGCCTCCAAGCGCCGCCGCTGTGCAGCGCTCTTCGTTGTGAAGCCACACCGCTCTGTCGTCTCCTATTCTCCATCTCCCATCTCCTTCTTTGCCGCACGTCATGTCGCCCTACTCTCTCATATCTCTCTTCACTGTGTTGCGTAGAGAAGTCTCACTATTGTAAAACACTAATTTGAGTGCAGCACAACGACGCTTTAAGATTGTGAGTTTCTGTCGCTCGACCGGTGTTTTGGTTTTTGTTTCTATCTCTATCTGTGAGTTTCAGATTGAGAGTTACAAATTGTGAAGTGGTGTGGTGGAAGCGATGGTAGTGATGTTGCTAGATATTTGATTGGTGTTGGTGGTTGGGGTAGAGGTAGAGGTGGAGGTGAGGGTGGGATGAAAGTGTTTATGACTATCTATTTGGCTATCCGTGACCAACTATTTGAGTTGAGTTGGGTTGGGTTGGGGTGGGGTAGTGGTTGTGGTGTTTTCTGTGGTGGTGGTTTTGTAGTGAAATTGGTGGTTGTGGTGGTGAGGAAGAGTTGGTGGTGGTGGTGGTGAAGAGATGTAGAGTATGATGTTCCTAGTTGTCGTGAGGTGGTGGTGGTTCTGCAACGATGGTTTGGCGGCAGTGGTGGTGGTTCGACGCGCCGAGGCGGTGCTACTGCTAGAGGTTTCAAGTGTTGGTGGTGGTCACCAATTATTTGGTCGACCGTGATCATTAAATTGGTTAATTTGTAATCAATAAATAATTTGTGACCATGAAATTATATGTAACCTAAAAAATTATTAATTTGTCATTGATAATTCAACAATTTGTGACTGACTAATAAGTTGTAACCATAATATTTGTGATTTGTGACCCGTGACCTATTAATTTTTTATTTGTGACCTATGAAAATTTTAATCTGTGACCGTAAAATAATTTATGAACTGTAAATTTTCTGATTTGTGATCTAAAAATAATTTGTGACCAATTAATTTGATAAATTGTGACAAACGAATAAGTTGTGACCCATAAGTATGTATACGTGACCATAAATTGTACAAATGTGATTTTAATATATCTAATTAATAAAATATATTTAATTAACTAATAAATACCCGATTTTTGCAATTTTGAAACTTAAGGCCTGAAAATTGATTTGATCATAGTTAAAACCTGATCCACGAATTCTTCCCTTTAACCAAATACCATAAAGGAATCAATTTAAATCAGATGTGCTGATTAGTAGCATTATTCTTTAAGTAACAAGTCATTGTAATATTTATTGGAGCCGCTATTTACATTCACATAATATACTAATCTATCCCACTTTATATCTATCTTTATTGAAATACTAATTTTTTTTTTT